AAATCTGACCCGTGCTCTAATATCAGTCGTCCTAGCCACATTGCCAGTGTTTCACCTGGATTTAGTCGGGTATCTCTTGTCAGCTCTTGGAGTTCCCCTCTGGTGCGCGTACAGAAGGTGGTGAGAGTGCGGGTTCCCACGCCATCGATGACAGTTTTCACTAAGGCTACAGGGTTTGCATGGAGAACGGGTGCGCCTGCGTCGGCGGGGAGGGCGGAACATAGCTCCGGCGGGATGTTGTATGGAGGCGGTTCCTTGGGCAGGGCCGACGGGGTTTCTCTAGCGTCGTATTCCACTTTTTCCCTGTCCACTCTGTGGCATCCCGTCCATCAGCCTCAAGACTCTCACGGAGTGCCGTTAGAATTTCATCTTCGGCGCCCCCGGGATTGAGATCGGGGCATTTGAACTTATCGGGAGGGGTTTCGCAGCCGCTCCCCTCTTTTAGGTACTGAATGCACCTAGTGTACTCTTTTGCGGGAGTACGGTCATCTGTGCCTGTGGGCTTGACGTGGCTAAGTAACGCCTCTGGTTTTTTGTTGGGTGGGTGGTAAAGAACCGCGGGACTGGAAAGAAGGTATCCTAAGGCTGCGGGGCTGAGGCTCTTGATGATACACCACATGGGCCCATAAATCATCGGCGTTCGTGGTCGGGGGCCGGTGATGGTTTCCCCATGGGCAATGCCTGACTAACTCGTCTACATCTCCTTCGTTCCCCCTTTGCCCCGGGGATCCTGTTCGCGACGCCATGTTCAACCTGACGATGGGTGGCTGGACCCAGATTATGCGAGCAGGCCGGGGACAAAAGGGTTTCAGGGTCTTATTCCTCCCTCTTCTGTCTCTCCTTCCGTCGACAGAAAAACACCAAGGAGGCGGTGAGATAAGTAAATGCTTTACTCACAGTTTAGGCAGAAAAAAAACTTCTTAACAGCTGTTTCAAGATTAAACTCACTGATAACTTGAGAGCTCTTAAACACGTTTGGATGGTATACCCAGTCATGATGGGGGCGTCTGGGGGAAGGGATTTCGTGGACGCAGGACCTCCGGTGAGGGTGATCAGGCCTCTCCGATATTGCGCAGGTCCCCCCTTCCTTTTGGCGCGCTCGCCTTTTAAACGGGCTGCATCTGCACGCCCCCTGCCAATCAGCGCGGGCCGGGTCCGCTGCTATCAGGCCGCGCCCATCGCCTTCCCCATGCCATGAGCACGACTTGCTCCTATGTTTGGCGTTTGGTCATTTTTCTTTCTTTTCTTTATCACACCTTACAGCTACAGCATCACTGTAATACTACGTGTGCATTAATGTAACAGCAACTACTCTACTATTAGAGACTTTCTTCTTTATATATCTTTTTCCTGTTCTATCCTACCAAGACCCAAAAGATACTCTGAGTACCTTATACAACATAAATGGATACAAACTCAGGTTGTAGCACAGCAGCTGAAAGGCAGAAATAAAGATAACACGGGCAACCATTTCACACAAAGAATGTAGCGTGTTGAGCTGACAAAACAGGGAGGGAGGGGGATAAGTGGAGAGAGAGAGAACATTTTAAACACTGGAAAATTTCTTAGCTTTATCACACCAGGAGAACAATAGCTTCAAATTCTTTAAAAGGCTATACATATAATTATCAACATTTATATGTTAGTGTTAGCCAAAGCACGTCTCTCAAAAGGCCACAGTTGTGCACAGCATCAGAATAATAAGTTACTTTTTACAAGTTGATGCCCCTTTTTTGTTTTAATCACAGTCCCTTCTGTTCTTTAAAATTTTCTTTCTGCAGTTTTGGAAAAATCCAAACTGCTTCTTGAAGCCAGAAAAACATGGTCCAAATGTCTTAGTTTAATAATCTGTAATGCACGGTCCACCTCCCATTTCAATCTTGAATTAATGATTGAGAGTTCAGAATTGTTACCTACCTTTCCTTCAAATTATTTAAACTATTTAAAATTCTTGAACAGGGGAGGGAAAGTTCTCAAGTCTCAGCCAAACATTAATCAATGATTAAAAATAGTAAATCACCAACTTAACCTTGTTAAATGTTAATGTTTATTGTTGAAAGCAAACACTTCCCAAAACCTCTTACTAAGCTTATTTTAAATTAACTGACTATAGGAACAAGTAGGAATGTAATACTATTAAAATATCTCCAGTAACATGGGTATTGAAGGTCATTCTCATATGAAGTGCTCACCACTCCCACTAAATACAGTGAAACATTAGCATAAGTTTAGCTAAAATATTCAAAATATATGAAGTAAAATATGATCCCAATATATTTGTGATAGTGAATTTTTGATCCTGAAAACAACAGGAAAACTCAATGCACTAGTGTTTGTATAACAGTTGTCAGGCAAAATGATCCCTAGAAAATGTGTATGCTTTTAATAATTGAATTATAGAAAATTAGCGTTGGAAGGGATCTAAGGAGGTCATTTAGTCCAACCCCCCATGCTCAAAGCAGGACCATCCCTAACTAGATTATTCCAGCCAGGGCTTTTTCAAGCCAGGCCTTAAAAACCTGAGAATGGAGATTCTACCACCTCTCTAAGGTAACCTGTTCCAGTGCTTCACCACCCTCCTAGTGAGAGTTTTCCTTAATATCCAACCTAAATCTCCATGGGTGCTTCCAGATGTGTGTGGATGTTTGCTTTCCCGGGGACAAGCAGCAGTGGCACACCTTGTGCCACCTCTTCTTGCCCCTGGGAAATGCCTGTGCATTGCACACTTTGGTGCATGGCAAGTTACCTTGGGTGGGATAGGGGAGACAGGCCAGCACTGTGCTGGCCCCAGCAGCCTTACCTGGGGTCCTGTAGGGGCTGCAGCTGTGGTAACTGTGCCATGCAGAGCCTGGCTGACAGTGGAGCGCACCTCTGGGTGGGCCAGCTCCACTTTTCGGCAGCACACGCTGTGTGTGCATTGCTCCAGTTTTTTTCCTGTGTTTTTTTTTTGACCCCTGGATATCCTGTTTAATCAGGATGTCCCGCTTATCCTACACAAAAAAAAATGATGTTAAAAGAACATAAAGGCTGCAAAGTCAATGACTGAAGTTTGCAGTGATAGAGGTTGATTTCTGCCTTTCTATTATGAGCATGCCTTTAATTATAAACTACATGAACATAAGGGGGCTAAACTAAAGTTGCACAGGCAATCATAGCATTCTTTCAACATTATTTTTGAAATTGCCTACATTTTTTTTGTTTTAAAAAGTGAACCAAATAAAAATTCCTTTGGTCTGACACCCACCAGCATAGGTCACCAACATGGCTGGAATCTTTTGATTCACTGCACAACCTCTGCCACTTCATCTAACAGAGTAACCAATAGTAATAACTAATTTTCAGCTCTTGCATGAGTTAACGTTAGAAGATGAGACATACACTCTGCCAGTGGATTTTGCTGATGGCAGTGGAACAAAGACTCAGGAATCCTGGGTTTGAGTCCAGTCTGAAGTTATGTTCCTGATGGGCATAGACTTCTGTCTGTTCCTCCCAAAATTAAACTTATTTGGCCCCATCCCTTTCAAACAATCCTCATCTGAGTCCTGCCCCATACTACCTGCATAGCCAGTCCCAGCCTTCCCCTCAGATTTAAGCACTGAGCCTCATCTCCATCCACACAATGCCCAGAACCTTTCCCAGCATCCAGCCCCCTACTCTTTCTCCATTCAGGCCCAGGTTCTTACCCCCAGCTTCTCATCTGATCTGCCTCTATTCTTATGCCGAATGAGGAGCCAGGGAAGTGTGTCTGGACTGGGAGATAATCTGAGTTTTAGTGCCTCTGCCCTTGTCCCACCCCTTTTTGCTCAGCCAGCCTGTTCTCCCCACACTTCCATCTCTCTCTCTCAGATCTCCCTACTTCTTTCCCAACTTCTCCATTGCCACTTCCCACCTAGTCCCAGCTTCCACCAGTTTCTCATTTCTCAAGATGACTAGGTTTCACCCCACACAAACAGCTTCTAGTTCACTTCCAAGGCCGGCCTGCCCTTCCTGTCAGTCTTCTCGGCCAGCCAATCCCAGTTCGTCTCCCTTCACTTCCTGTTGTGGTCACATGAGATCTGGCTGTTTTCCACAAGGATGCCAAAAAGGTATCTGTAGCACAAAGGACAACCTCCATTTCAAATGCTAACATTCTTAGCGTACCTAAAGTATTTCAAAGAGTCTTAAAAGCGTTTATTTAATATTATTTTAAATTAGCAACAGATATTTTTCCTTAACCTCATTCCCAAAATAGCGGAACCTTTCAAACTGCAATGTTAATAAAAAGATTAGTCTGCAGGTGAATTTGGACAATTAGCATGGAAAAATGTTAGTCCAAACACAATTTAAATTTGGCAACATTAAAAGTGACTAAAAATTGGTATAGCCAGACAACCTTAAAAAAAAACATCTCTGCCTGTAACAAACAAGACATATGTAGAAATCATATCATTCTTTTTCTATTGCTTACACTATTTTTAGCTGTTTTCAAAGATTAAGTCTAAACATGTCAACTGTCTATTTCTTTTCTGTTGATTTTGCAAAAAAGGTGGAACTCAATCCACTGTTTTTAGTGTGCATTACAATGAAACAAGAACTTTCTAGCGTCGCTAACGTTCTCTCAGGAAATCAGCTCTCAAATCTTATCTCATGTTATTCAAATTACCAAGGTCTGCGTGTCTAACCCTTCGAAAGACATTCCAAATCTCTTACCTTCTTGAGTACTTACTTTATAAATGACCCTAACATAAATGCCTTCCTTCCCTAGACTGCAGGTAGACTACTCAAGCAAGTAAGAAGATAAAAATTATGTACAGTGACTATCACTTTGCAAATGTATCTCCAAATATTTTTGAAGTGTAAGTAGATGTTCTTAAGCGTTATTAGATTGATATTTAAAATAAACACCTGAAATAAACAAACATCAGAGTACCGAATTTATTTGAAAAGTAAAATATACTAAATGATTTTCCCTTTTGTTTTTGTACTGCAGTATGAAACTTTAATATTGGCACCAGATAACTAATGATATATGAAAGAACTGAGAATTATGAATCCACAGCTTTTGCTATCCCCAGCTTAGTACGTCAGTTTTTCAGTTCAGTAATTTCTGGTATACATAATACCTAGTACCTATTTTTAGAGGTACATACAATCTCTTATATATCTAGGAATATATACCCTAGGACAGCCATATATATTTTTTAAATCCACACACATTTTTACAACCTTCAGATTTAATTCAAAAGTTTTGCTTAAATTACTATAAAAAAATATCCTTTTAATGACCCTTACTCCATGCTGGGATTTGTAGATAAGTATAGAAACTGTGCAAGACCTGGAGATACTGGACATTAATCAGCAACAGTCTAGGACTCCAGTTCTATTTTCTGAGCAGCAGTTAAAGAAAGTCTTGGATTGAATACTGATATCAAAATACAGATTTAAATAATTTACACTAAAAATAATCTAATTTGCATTTATAGCTTCTTACAGAAAATAAACATATTCCTATTGTTAACAGACAAGTCCTCAGCTTTTCCAGTTCCAAGGGATACAAAGATCTCCATCCTGCAGCACAGAGTAAAAGTGTGAAATGCAGAGGTGCATGCCTTGTAGATATGGTAGTGATTCTTCTAGCAGTCGCTTACAACAATTTATCATCTGTGCACTGGAAACGCTGGGCTCCTTATACAGCTGTTTCAGGGAAAATTTTTCAGTGGAAGTACTAATTAGCTCCTTTTCCATCGCCATCAGCCTGGTATAATAAAAAAGCAGCCAGTAAGTAAGAAATAATGACAAAACAGAATGATTAAATTAGTGCTTACCCTCTTTTAAAAATCTGTTTTTGAAAGATACAAGTATTATACTTATGTATATACAAAAATGCTTAAAGATTTCAAGATTTTCATGTTGAGATATACTGAAAAGACTTTTGTACATGTATATTTTAACATTTGTTTGCACTATTATATGAACTCTGCGCAAAAATGGTTACATAACTACAAATGGAGGACACATTTTGGAAACATTACAGATTAAATGATTTAATCTATATTCAGAATATTGTATACTGGTAACGTATATATTTACAATATTTGTAACTTACCATCTTTACTCAAATCTAAGACAAGGTGTGCCCCCCCATGGGGAAAAGTCCCTCCATCTTAGATTCAAGTAGAAGTTGGAGGGGGGGAGGAGGGGAAGGAGTTGGTGGTGAGCAGCTTTGGCTCCAGCTCTGGGGCTAGGGCTGAAGCTGCCACCACTGCAACAGCTGCTGCCTGGCCAGACTGGGGCCAGAGGCAGCACATACTCAGTGCTCCCTGGACTGGGCCAGAGAAGGGTTCCAACTGGAGCCAGAGTTGCAAGGTTAAGGTAAGTGGTGTGGAGGGTGGTAGTTATGCAGCAGGCACCTGCGGGGCTGGTGGGAAGTGGGTGGGGCAAGTGTGTGAGTGGAAGGGGGGCGGGGAGGGGCTTCATTTTCCTGGTACCTTAAGGATCAAAATGCTTGACATTAAACAGAACTTAAAAGCTTAGCTACAGGGAATAAATTCCTCTTTATCCTCTTATCAAAGCCATTATTCAGTATCCTGCACGTGATATAAAATATTTGATATCAAACAAAAAAAGTGTAGCCACCTGCAGTATTTTACGTGATAGTAATATTCTACCTCTTTCAAGAGGAACACAGAATCCTAAACTCGGGACTAAGCTCAGAGAGTATTATTTTCCATTTACCTTGGACAAAATGGAATACAAAAAGCAAAAGTGACAAAAATCCAGGTTCTCTGAGAAGAGAAAGTACGTAGATATATCTTTTAAAAGACCAGAGAAAAATTGTACTTTTATTATTTAATCACCCTTGACTGAAGTTATACTGTACACGTGAATGCATCAGCAATGAACAGAAGTAACTCATTCCAAACCTGTACTTCTAAGCATTTTTATATGTCCCATAAAGTTGACACACCACTACTTTGGAGAATATACCAAAATGCCCACAATGTTAAAGGACAACAGAAATGCCTTTCTTAAAAAAACCCTCAAAAATCCAGATGTATGGATGTATATACCCAACAGATGTATGGTACCTCTACAAATTTAAATTGTGATCCCCCAACAAGTTCCTCAATTGCAAACTTTTGAAGCCAACTGGAACTCTGAACAGGCAACAAAGGATGTTTAAGTCTGTAGTTCTACAATGTAAGGTGAATTTTAAATGTTAGAACGTGAACTGAAGAACTGGGTTTTGATTTTTTCCTGATTAAATACGAAGAGTGCAGAGCTTCATTTCTTACCTAGCTTCCCAAACATTTCTGGAGAAAGATCACAATTTTTAATTCAGATCTTGCCAGATAAGTAAGAAGAAACAAATTTCAGCTATTTTAAAACAAATTTCTGTTTAAGCCAGGGTTCAGCAACCTATATCCTGTAGGATGAATACAGCCCAAGGATTTTTTGATCTTGGTTCACAGATGTGGGGCTTCAGTGGTGTTTGGTGGTAGTGGACTTCGGCAATGGGGAGCTCTCCCCATGCCACTGTGGGGAGAAGCAGTGGTAACAGCAGCCTTTTCCTAGAGCCCACCTACCTACCCACCTCTGACCCAAGCTGCAAAAGGTTGCTGACTGCTGGTTTAATCCATATTGAAGACCTATAAGTTTTTTAATAAACAATATTAAAGGTAATATTTAAAATACCGGTATGTACAATGGTGATAAACATGGGAACAGGGATATTTATTTTCCATGGGTTTGAGACATAAATTGTATACAATACTCCACAGACAGTACCTGTCTCCAACTAGGATCCAATGCACATTTTCTGATGATGATGCATAATGCTGAAGAGGCTGTGGAGAAAAAGGCTCCTTTTTCCATATGTCATGACTATAACCAGAGGTTCAAATATTCTAAGGGGAAGTAACCAGAGTAGTAACACTTTGGAACGGCTAGTTTATCTGTTGAATGCCTCGGTAAAGGAAGTTTACTTTGTGAAAAAAGGTTTTTTGCTTTCTGTTTTCCTTCTTGTTTTTAGTTACTAGATTATGTATTGATCAACCATGAATTGGACAGCCCTGAATTAGATTATTAGAAAAGAGACAATATTGATAGAGACTTAGAAATATGGATTTTATTCCTGACCTATGCAGAAGACAAAGCCAGAGATTATAGCTAGCTTCTTTAAATATTAATGAAGCTTACTTAATGCTATATTTACATATGTAATTATGATCTTGAAAGTAGAGGTTCTAATTTATATCTTGTAAACTTTGTAAAGATGCAATAATATCAATCTCATTCAATTCTTGTATATTCCTCCTGTGTTGGAGTTTTGTTTCTATAGTTGCCCGAATAAAAAAAAAAAAAAAGTTAAAAAAAAATACTTGTATTAGTAAATATCTCCAAATATGCTTCATTTTGGCAATCACTGAATCTCTCTGTATGCTGCAGGAAAGTCGCTCTTAAAAACCTAAAGGAAACAAAAAGATGCAATGTGGCTACTGATGTAATGTGACAAGAATACTTACTCTTCTTTTTTTTTCAGATTCTCTCTTGCTTGTTGTGCTTTGGTAATAATAAACCACTGAAGGGTTGCTGGATCACAAACTGCTGGGATGCTAAAGTGTCCAAGTTCATGCAAGCTTGGGGCATACCTATCACTTTAATAAAACATAAAAAGTTAAACACAGATGCATCTTGTTACTTACCCTTTTACTAAAATATTTATAATTTTATAACAGAGGACAAGGCAATTTAAAGGTTAGAATTCTGAATTAATGAGCTGAAAACAATTATTTGTTAAAGGTTTAATGAATAAGGATGAAATATTATTTTAAGTGTTTTAATTTTTCATATTACAGGAGAATGAATCTGCAAAGACAACTAAAAAGATGTAATTTAATCCCTTTCTGCAGACTCAAGATAAATAATTAATTCACAAAACCAGCTATTTTTCAAGGTAATTTCTCAGATATTTAAACAAAGATATAGATTTCAGATGATTTTCTAAATTAGATTAAGAACGTTAAGATATTAAAATCCTACTTTCAGCACTGCCTTTTCAGACACTAACTGTATTTCTGGAATCCTGTGTCTAAATCTGCGTAATGATCTTGCATATTAATGTACACTGGTCTGCTATATCAGTTTGCTATGTACAAGAATGAAAAGCTGGCTTTTAAATGAGTTCTAGCCCACTGCTCTCTTGTAAGCATCACATTACATTGGTCATATAAGCATATCATAAAATACAGATGCCTTGTGTAAGATTTCTGTCTTTACTAGACTGGATGCTTGTACCCATGTATAAAGCTGACTCTGTGCCCAAGAGAATGAGCAAACAACCTATTTAACTAAGTTAAGTACAGTAAAGATGAGTTTAGAAAGATACAAGTGTCCTTGTAGCGAAAGGGCACAATTTTCTCCTACATAACTAACCACTCAAGCAAAGTTATTTAAAACATTTAGAAACAGATAACTGTGATTTCATTACCATCAACAGAATTATGGTTACTGTATGCATATTGTTGACAAGCCATGCAACCTTTAGTCTCTTGTTGTAGACCGTTAAGATTTTCCAACAGAACATGAAAAATGTGAAATGCATTAGAAATAAAAATGCAACAAATGAGACTTTATACTACAACTGGTTATTTCTTAAAGCAATAATTGGCATGAGGAATAAAATGAATAAAAGGCTGATGTCTACTTATCCCACAGATGCTTACCTTTCTAGAATCATTTTCAAGCCCCGCAGACTACGAGGGTGAAAAAGTAGTCTACTATTCAGTAATCTAGTATAGAAAGCATCAAGAGTAGTGTAATACTCTTCAAGAGTCAAAAGTGGCTGAAGCTCTTCAATGTATGTTATTTGTATGCCTCCTAGTAGATGGCTTATCCGGTCCTCCAGAAGGAGCAGCTTTTTTTGAAGTTTCTTATAGTTTGGCAATATCTCAAAAATCTGTACATACAGAATACAAATATTTCTTATGTTACATATAAAACAATATAATTTCCTTTAAAACATCAAAATACTGATTTGGTTCACCAAAGAACAAACTCTAAAGGAACAACAAAAATTAACAGTGCAAACATGGAACCCAAATGAAAAATAAAAATCCACAAAATACCAAAAGCTAGTGACTAATTGCAGCAAAAGAACTGTTAACCTTAGAATATTTTAAATATTTATCTTGCAGTAACACCAAAAGGCTACAACCAAGATTGGGCCTCAGTGTGAGGAGCTCTGTCCATGTGCAAGAGTTCCTATCCCAAAGCAGTTATAATTTGAGGTCATGTCTATACATACAAGGGTTTGCTGATATAGCTATCGTAGCAAGCTTTCCTAGTGGAGATATAGCTAGTATTTTTTGTTGATGCAACTGCATCAGACCATGGTGCTGGCTATATTTGTCAGGGGTGTTGAAAACATAAAACAAAAATAAAACCCTCCAGCAGCATCTCATAACAATAAAAAATACATTAAAAAGTTCTATCAGAAGACTTGGGAATAAATCAGGTCTACTCTAGCTTGTGGATGACAAGGCAACAAGTCTATAGCTAATCAGTTGCAATGATCATAATTTGCTACATACCTACCAATTATGAAACTGCATCTATTCAGGCAGAGATGAGAGGTATATAAAAACTAGACAACAGAGCACCGAAAATATTGCTGATAGTCTAGATCAGTGATCTTCAACAAACCAATTGTTTGTGGGAAATGTTGCCTACAAAATCCTCCAATGCTACTTGGGAACAAAGAAAATAAGAAAGCTAAACCTTAAGTTGAAGAGCAGCAAAACCTGATGTGTCATTTGCTCAGCATTGTTGCCTATGGGTCAAAGGTAGAGGACCATTGTTCTACAAAAATTCCAAAACAGTTTGAGACTACTGTTCAGAGCTTCATGAATGCAAAAGGAGCAGACTCTTAATACAGTACAAAATCCATTGTTTCAGTTCATGCATATTTTAGAGAGAAGTACCAAAGGAATTTTCTTGATCATCAGAACTAAAAAATGTGATCTTTGTTCTATGAAAACTAGAACACTTGATCAAATAATATTGCAGATTTTTTTTTAACCATGGTATCCTATTGTCTCCGTTTTCTATGCATTTCTTCCACCAAACATGTACTCCTACTCCAGCAGCCAAGATCTGTGACTAATCATTAAAAGAGCGCTAGTTCATATTACATTTCAGATGGTGAAATAACCAATCTGTTTGTCCTTGATATGGAACACAGAGTTGATTTACTTCTGGAAACTGAAAAAGCCTGGCAATAAAGATCATGGTTATTATGAACACCTACAAAAATAGATTATGTTAGAATGCAATACATAAGATCAGGGTGAATATTTTAACTACATTTGCATCATCACTCAACAGTTATTTACAATTTTTTGGTTACACAAAGATGAAAACAAATTCATGTATACAGGGTGACAAATACAAAATGATTATTCTTTACTATGAAATGTTCTTACTTTGGTCCAGTGATGATGAACATCCATGGTCCCAAGCATTATGTGGCCTGTTGCACTCAGACCTGAACAATCTGTAAATATAACCGTGTATCCTAAAATGATGAAACAGTTCTTTAGTTACTTTCCACAACTATTTTTTACTGCTTTTCAACTATTCAAGCCTTAATCAGATCATTGCATTTCAGAACAAAAAAAATCTTTTCAGGATAACCAAAAATGAGTAATAAGTTTGTGTGTTAATTCTCAGCATGTAAAGACCAGATCATTCTGAAAGCTCAAACTCAAGGATTTTTGCCCCCAATAAAAAACATAATGTATTATTTACTCTCTCACTCTCCCTATGCTTTAGGCAGATTTGCAATTTAGCTATACAGAATTTTATTTTATAGACTTTTTTGGACAATGTCACTTTTAAACAATGCACATGGAAGATAATGTACACTGAGCGAGGATTAGTAGCTTAGAGTAACTTTATTTCATGCAAATAATAAATGGTTAATCTTGCCCAAACCACCATGCCCACTACCACTCCCCATAAGGCTCTGCACGATACATTTATAAATAGATACATTAATACATACACCCTAAAATTAGAGCCTTCTTTGTTCTTTCAAAAGTGAAGGACACAAATGCTGGAGAATAATAATAAAATTACCCCTTTAGGTAATTCAGTCTAAAGATGGGGAAGAAATAATCAAGATTGTGTTAAGAACTGACTGGTAAAAAGGTACATACACCTGACTGCCAAATACTGGAACTCTGACAGTCTGCAAGGGAAAAGCCACCATTTCCATGATTTTCTCTTTTAAAGGAGAATCAATTTTTAAAGTTTGTTGATCCATTCTTAAAGTTTGTTCGTGACCCCTTCACATATTTTTGCAACCCACTTTTGGATCACAACCCACAGGTTCAGAAATGCTTTTCTAGTGCCAACCAGTAGGCACTAGAGGAGGCTACAATGAATGCTCTTTGCTTTCCACTCCCCTTCATGGGAGGAAGAGGGGAGAGGAAATTAGAGAGCAGGAGAGGAGAGGTAAGCAGGGTGGGGAAAGGGAGTCTAATTTCTTTTCTTACTAGACTGCACACTTGTAGCCACATATAAAGCTGATTGTTCACCCACTATGTCTCCCTCTCTATGCACAAGTATGGAAAAATTAAATCTTTAAAGGAGTTATTTTAAGTAGGTATTATCCACTTGTGGAACATTTCAAAGGCTTTTGAAATGTTTCATTACATATGACTACACCTTAAACTACCATGATTCATTTAACCTGAATAAAACAGTGAATTACTGAAGATTTACTTCTACTTACCATGGGGTAGAGCAGGCAGACAAAACTGTAACATATTTTTTTTCCACTACAGTAAGTCCCTCCATTTACCCCTTTCACAACAAGTGTTAAGTGGTCCATTTGTCCATGCCTTTTGTCTCCTTAGCCCAAGGAAAAATTGGGATTTTTCCTAGAGTTCCTGTGCTAGGAAAACTCTGGTTCTGGTAAAAGTATTTTTGTCCAGTTTAGGATACATGTGGAATTTGTCATTCTTTTTAGAGTATGGTAGCATAGAATTTGCCCTCCAAAGTTGACACAAACAAGTTTAATGCTTCCATCCATCTATCCAGTAACTCTTGAAGTTATTTGAAAGGTAAGACATCAATTGATTCTAATGCCATTTAAACAGGAGGAGTATTTAAAGTAACTACTTTTAAAACTGCAGCGTATTGCTGATAATTTCAAGTAGCTCTGGCACTTTTTTTAGAATATTACAAGTGTAAAGTCTAAGATTCATGGTTGTATTATTGCACTGACATAAGGAAGAGAAAAGTAACAAGAAACATACCTTTAACATTCATTAGAACTTCTGGTCTCTGGTGAGCTAAACGACTTAAACTGTGCAGCTGGCTACAACGATGAGCAATATCCCAACTTCTTTGCCACCTAAATAAAATGAAATTGAAAATATTATTTCAATCTCAGTATTATAAAGAGATATCATTCATTTATTATTTATGTTCTTGGCATATTTGGGCACTAAAAATGCAGATAATAATCACAAGATTGGGATACTTAGACCGGGGGTTGGACTAGATGACCTGAAGGTCCCTTTCCGACAGATCTATTTTTCTATAATTTTATATTAAATTCACCCTTCTTCAAGAGCAATAAGTAGCAAACATCCCTGTGGGGAATGTGTAAAGTGGTCTGAGTAATATGCTATTAAACACTGTACATAAACCATTTGGCCAACTTTTTTACAATTTTTCTTGAAGCAGGTGCCAACTCTGTGATAGAGATGAAATGGGAAAAAGCAAATACAAAAACCCTACACCTCTCCAAATAAAACAATTAAACATAAGAAGTAATGGATAGAAAAAAACATTTTGAGAAGCAATGAGCATTTTCTTTATAAGCAAATGGGTACTAAATACAAACTAGTTATTTATAAAATTACTGGTTTCTCAGGTGAAGGTAAGATTAGGATTGTGACCACTGCTGCAACACTAGTTTTTATTCTGCAAAGATAAATTACTTTGCAAGTGGTCCCATCAACAGGGCTACTCTCATTGTAGTTAAAATATGCACACTTACACATTACTGTTACTCTGTTCCACAAGGGGAAGGACTACTTCCTTCTTTGACCCTTTACTGAGATACTCAGTGCATAGTCCAATATTTGGCCCAACTGCTAGATAGGGACTGCCCCCCCACCTCCCAGGCAAACCTAGGCAGGGGTCTGGGAGGGGCTTTAATCCCCCCTTCCTCAGCTCAGTGGTGGCTCCAAGCCCTGCAGGACCAGACTTAGAGGTGGGAGGTGTTGGCAAAGACCTGGCACAATCACATGTATGTGCTGGAGACGAGGAACAGGAGAGGGTTGCAGACAGCTTGAGCTAGTGTAACCAAAGAAATCAGAGAACTACATTTACATTATAAAAGCAGCACCTGTGAAAGCTGGAAGACTGGAATACCTAAGAAAGGAATCCCTCAGGTTTACGCAAGACTTATTCAAGTCTTTCTTGTCTTTTTGGTTTATTACATTTCATTTTAAGTTAGACCAAGTTGTGAGTGCTCTCTGTTTTTTACTGATTTGTATTTTAGAACAGGTGAAGGTTTTTGGTTGTTCTGTTGTGCTTTGAGTTTACAAAGTGCTGTGTTCAATAGATGCTTGCTTCAGGGGGGGGGGGGGGGGGGGGCGGGGCAGGCAGAAGCCTGGAAGGCACTGCGTCCTGCTTCCCCACCCCCGCAGACCCGGACTGGTGTCCGTAGCGGCCAGGGAAGGGTTTTAAACCCCCCGCTCCAGCATGCTAGCCCTGGGCTGGTGCCTGGTTACACCCCACCTGCTACAGCAGGGATGGGGTGAGAGCCTTGGAGGGCTTCTGTCTTCCCTCCCCTTTGACAATCGCTGGCAGGCGTGCTCTAGTGCCCCCTGGCTTGAGCCACTGCAGGCATGTGGCTGCATTTCCTGAATCAAAAGTGAATGCATGTCTATTTGCCAATTGGCTCAATCTGCACAGCTTAGAATAACCTTCAAAGACAGAATCGATTCAGGATCAGGCTTTTTGACTGTCTGTAACTAGCCTTGGTATCAAGGGCACAAGGAGTGCCATGCCGATATGCTTATAGCATTATCTAGCATAATGCAGATGCGTCTTAAATCTGACTGATGTTATACATCAAGGCTGCTTTGGCCCTTAGAACTGCAGAACTCGGGGTTCTTTCACATTCTCAGACAATGCAAAATTCTAGGCCTCTACTTACTTTTAATACTATGCACATTCTAGCATTGACCCAGACACATAGCAGTTTCTTTTCAAATATAATTACACTGCCAGTAAGAGAGATATCTAAACTGAGCTTTATTTCGTTCTAAGTTATTTTAAAGTTAAAATGTGCCAGTGTAGAATTACAATATTTTGATAAATTGTGGAAGAAAATTTTATATATAAAAATATAAATTAAATATTTAATTAGCTTGTTTTGGTTCCTATAAATGAACAACATTTTTAATAAGTTGTATTATATATAGATATGACCAAAAACAAGCTAATTAAAGTCAATGTTCAAGAAAGCTCTATAAAGATTTAACTCAAGAAATATCCTAAACAAACTGTGTAACTGCATTAAGAACAAATTTAAAAATATATCCTGAAGAGCTACATTTCTGTTCTCCAGTTTTAAAAGAGTTGTATTTTCTGAGAAATAATATTGGAGTAAAGAAATTAGAGAGAATATTTTAGCAACTTTAAAAGACAGGTTTATGTTACCTTGTTTCCCTTATTTTGGATTGCAATACCACTTTTAAAAATCTTCACAGGGTGTCAGTAAGCCAAAAGTTGTGTAAAATGCAGAATTGAGAGAGAAGCTGTAGGTGTTTACTGCCAGACTAATTAAACTAAACAAGAATAAGCCCCAATTCAGGAAAGTGATCTTAGCCAGCAAGGTAGCTAAGCACCTGCTTATTTTAAGCAATACCCAGGTCGTGCCTTGTAAGACTAGGACTAATAGAGTAAAATGTAAATGCAATTTTTAAATCCTTTAGAACTGTTCTGAAAAAAAAATAGAGAAATACCACTTTTTAAGCACACAAAACAAAGATATTGTGATGGAATAAGCTCATGGTACTACTTTTTTAAAGTAATCGTGGTTTTACCAAACTGCAAAAAACGCTTATTTGGATCACATGAATTTAGGTCTCCTGAATTTCATTACCTGATATCAGAGAGCTGTAGTTGATGACAGAGTTCACTTTTTAAACGCTCTAGTTCTTTCCTACGTGGCAAGCTGTTCTTCAGCTTCTTTATTGCACTTTCTTCATTATTCTCTAGCCAGGAACTGGAAAATGAAAACAATAGCCAGATGTACAATGCCATTTTTCGCAGGTAGGTTGCACAATAATTTACAAACATTATTGTTAACAGTAAAAGCTATTTCAAGGTACCAGGGAAAGTGAGATTTATTTAAAAACAGGCTATTTTTAATGTTACACTTCATCTGTGGTATAAATAGGTAGATCCCTGAACAAACAAAGTCTCCAAAGCTCCAGGTTTGTAAGCTTTTTAGAAAGCAGAATCTAAGAGATCTCATGGATAAAACATTGTTTTATTTTTTTTTGTCTCTTGATGGCAGTCAAATAAAGTCTAATATGACGTACTGGGACAGTATGAGTTTGAGCATTATGATAAAGCGAAGATTCAGTGGACCATGGAGTCAATTTCAATAAAATCCACTATTTGCTGATCACCAAGTTTCAAAGTAATACAGCAACCCTTATACAAGCTGCCTGCTTTCATGAGTTGGAAAGTGAGCAAGGGGTCCTAACCCACCAGATCTACACCATTGGAGGCAATACCAACTCAGTCTTGAGGCATAACCGAGGGTATCAAATCTGGCTTACTGGAAACTGAAACCTTACATGACTTTTGCAGCTAGGTTCTCCAGAATTCACAAGGAGGAACTTGTTCTGGAGCCTAGGGGTTCACAATGACTTCTGATCATTTCACAACATTCAATCTTGGACTTCACTGAGACCACAGCACTTATACCTATCTGTGCAAAATGGTGAATGTGGTCATAGGCTATTTTTTAAAAGCTGCAGGGACCCAGGCTAAAACAAGAAAAAGCAGAGGGAATACATGCCACAGTTGACAATATCCAGAAAAATATGTCAGCAGGTGTTCTATTGTTGCCCCAAGGCTAACATGTAGTAAAGAGATGCTCTTTTCAGTAAGTCTTAAGAGCATTGAAGATTGACTTCCACTGAGGTGAATCAACAAAGCTCAGTGAAATTCCAAATCAAGTGACAGAGAAGTGACTAACGTGCCTAAATTTCTCTCTGTCCCTGACACGTTAAAAGTAAAGATGCAATAGGATCTGATGCAGGTTCCCTACAGTCATGCTTCCTGCCCTGCTACATAGCACATGAAGCACAAGCAGCGCATGTAATATTGGTTAGAACTTCAAAAAAACTAAACCAAACCCTCAATCTATAGTTATGAAAGATTTTCACAGAACCATTTAACCAAATATTTCTGAGTTACATTTACTTAAATAAGACTATCCCATTTAGAAGATGACCCCACAATAATTAGATTCTATATATGGAAAAAATTGATATAATTTTCCAGGTATAGAATCTAATTATTGGAGGTCTGCCTTGAATTTGTCCCCCTTCCTCTGCTACAGCAGGTAAATTAAATTTGGGGTGTCAGGTGGCCTCTTTTCCTTCTGCCCCCCAACTTCATTCACCTGTAGGCCCGGCCCTTCTCTTCCTGTCAGACCCTGCTTTCCCTGAGCACGTGGAAGTGAGGGGTAAATTTGAAATAAACGTAGCTGTAGTAATTTGCATATAGTACCCATAGATTTAGTCCATCCAGAATTGATGTATTCTATCTTTTTTGCAATTGCTGCAAATTCTAGCGCAGGTAATCCATAAACACACTTTTAAGCAGCGCTTCAGCACCTACTTATATATAGTACAAACTGTGGCAGAATACCATCCTCGTCTCTCTCCAAAACTCTGCTACCTGACAATTTAGTTACCATGGTCACTCCTCTGCCCCATTTCTTCACATGACCCTGAGCTGGATACATTCCTGAGAGAGGGGGGAAACCTGCTCCCTCTGCCTATATGACTAGCATCATGTACCTGGATGAGGGGCTTATGCTCCCTATTGTTCTAAGCAATGCCAACCTGACTGGGAGGGGGCTAGAGAACCTGCCAGTCTACCTGGCACCAGTGATGCATTTCAAATTGGTTGGCTGGCAGCCAACAGGTGCTGGCCTCCATTGGATCAGGTAAATGAGGTCATAAGGTCTATATAAGTTAAGGACTGCCCAGGAGGAGGGGCAGTAGCCATAATGAAAACTCAGAAAGAGAAAAACTGGACTATCTAAAACTTGCGCTCTCTCTTGAAACTCATGATCAATGAACTCCTGCCTCCAGAGGGAATCTCCACCTGCCTCTAGATGTTACTCGTGAGTAAGCTACCTGGGATCTAACTAGGTATATAGCTTTCAGTAACTCAGATGCGTGATCAGAGGCTACCCACAGCCACCCTGTTTGTTCTATGGGATTTCTCCGATATGGCTCTACCCTGTACCCTATTCCAAACCTATTCCTTTTGTAGCCAATAAAGTTCTCCTTTGTACCTAGCATGGGAGACTTATTGGGAGCGGGTCTAGATTGTCTTGGGGTCCCCTTGGTTCAGCTGACTAAGGGAGACCACTATTTGTGCTTCACACTGAGGGAAGCACCCCAAGTTCTTGAAGTGCGTCGAGTACCCTCAAGGGCTACTAGGCCTGTGTTTCCAGGGGGCACAGAGACAGAATCAGCCCAGACCCTGGGTGAAGGCAATGTTACCCCTAGGCTAGTGGGTATGCTCCAGGAAGGGGGTTAGCCAGACATGAGGCACCCCCAGGGAGGCACTTAGAGCCTGGAAGGTGATTGGGCACAGTGAGGTGGATAGCTCAGCGCAGATGAGGCATAGGGCAACCTGATCCACCTTCATCTCATGGAACATAGGGCCACACTAATTATGTGCAACAGGCTGAGAGAGGGGGTCATAGAGGAATTCTAGGTGAACTGTTTTTGGTTCTGTTTAGTGATGTATGCCAGACATCCAAGGCTGTTGAAAAAACAGGAATGATTGGAAATGGGCAATAGAGGTACTGTGCTCAGCTATGAAAGTGAAAATGAAGTTGAAATGCATGCAAGGGGGTAGCTCACCATGACTTGAAAAAGAATCAGCACTGAGAGAGACTGCACTCAATGGACACTACTATATATCTTTATTCAGATGGGCTGGACTAAACTATCCTTCTGGTAGGTTTCCATCAGCACGTTTGCCTATAGGCCATGTACTTCATAGTCAGTTTATATTACTGAGCACCTGCTGCTTTTAGCTGCAGATCAAAGATAGATAATGTATTTAAAGTGGTTTCCTTGTATGCAAAGGTAAGACCAGAGGCTTTCCCCCCACCATGCTGATTGGGGAGGAAAAACCTTGTTGTGTAGTTGAGTTAATACATTATTTTTCACAATATTTAAATTAGTGATCCAAATCTTCATTATAAACAACCAACTGACTACTGGTTCTTATTTTTACAAGATAAATGGCAACATAAAGGAAATATATCAAAACAAGAATGGTCAAATTATTTGAAGAATAGTGAATATTCAAATATTCAATACTCAATATTGAAAATAACTATGATGGTATGGTCAAAAACAACTCATTTGTAAAAATAATGTATAGTTCCATACAGAATACAATGTTTAGTTATGCTTTCAGTAGCAAACTATTGCTGTATGCAGGACATGTTATTGTAGAATAAAAGGTGCTCTCTGCCCTAGATCTTACAATCTAATTAGATCTGCGCTGAACACAAGTAGCACACACTTCACATGGTTATATCAAAGGACTAAACTTGAAAATTTATAATGATCTTTGTGTTTTTAAATCGCTAGAATTCAAATCTCAGGATCACCACACTCAAAAAAAGGTGTGTGCATTTATAAGACATTTAAGAGTACTAACCTGTTTTCAATACTTGTTGGAAAAAACAAGACAATGAATGCCTTTCATATATGTTTATTACATTCTGCCCCCCACCTCCCTTTATTTTTTTACTCTTACATGGCCTATAAATGCACACATCCTGGAAGTGAGCATTTTTATGGGCCCTACGCTAGTGAAAAATTGACAGTTTGGATTGTACAGATTCAAATTTATAATTGTGTGATCCAAAAGGTACTAATTTTTGAATTACAACAATTGAAAACTTTTGCTTCCCCTGTTGAATTAGCAGTGGTATTCCATAGCAAACAAGCCATCCAACTATGACCTCTCACTATTTCCTGTTTCTTTACCCACTGGCACCTTGGTATTTCAGTAGCTCATTGGAGTGCCCTTTTATTACCATATTTTCTTACAGACACTGTTTCCCCCCAAAAAACAGGTGCTAGAAATTGAAGCGTGCATTATATGCAGGAAATACAGCAACATTAGTTTCTGCTGCTTAATCTTTGGCTGAGTGAAAGCAAAAGTGAAGTAAGAAAGCAATCCACAGAGAGCAAAACAATGAGCAGGCTCAGGTTCCTAGCTGCTGGTACTCTGTTACTTGATACGAGTAAAGACCTTTTGCTCATTCTGCCTTTCAAAAATAAGATGTGTATCTTATTTCAGGGTGGTGTTGTATGCAAGAAAATACAGCATACTGCTGTACCATACAGAACCATACTATGGATGATAAAATATAGAACAATTTATCAGGAATTTTTACATCTGTTTTTCTGATATTTTATCCTGATAAATGTTAATTAAAGAAATAAAAATATTTACATACATTAGGGTAGTTTCCATTTTCTGGGCTTGCTCTAATTCTTCCTCAGGATCCTTGAATCCAGTAAATGAATAATAAGTCTTGTCCCATTTGATTGGCCTGTAGAATGTCCCTTTTACTTCCTTGTAGGGTTGAGAGTCCACACTTGCATTCAGGCTCTGAACATGTTCAGTAGATAAGCTGCAGGAGTTGAGAATATCTAATACTGTGCTTAGCAGGTCCCTGGTGTGCAAAGTAAAACTGACTGCTCGAAATCCTATGAAATGTAATCCCCAAAACAATTAGATAATTTAAGAATGAAACCGTTATATGCAATTATCTTACAAAACTAAAGCAAACCACGCATGTATAATGATAAATTTCACAGTAAAATTATGTATAAAGTTTATTACACAAGTACAGCAGACTAAACTGCTTTCATGAGAGAAGACATCAGAATATAGTTTAACCTAACAATGTCCAACTCATCTGGTCCCACTGGCTAGATGAGTGGTACAGGGCTGGTCTATGGGCTGGATGAATTCCATGGAGCTGGCTCCACAGACCACCCCCTTCACGTTGGAATACAAGGGCCTGCCGCGCCCGCTCTAGAACACATGGTGCATAGCCAGGATGCACAATGCATACAGTGCCTGCTCCAGCTAGTCCAGGACAGACCAGCCAGGGTGGGTGCTGTGTGCAGTGATGGTCCTAGACCAGCCCAAGCAGGTACTGTTTGCAGCACGTGTCTTGGACTGGGTGAAGCAGGAACCTTATGCAGACTGGCTCATAGAATGGCTGGAGCAGGCACTGTATACAGATCATATTTGGTACCCTGTGTGTGAGGCCAGTCTGGTGATGCATGCTGCGTGCCCCAGAAGCAGCAGTAGGGGCTGGATGATGGGGCTCCGCTGGCTATATCTCTGACACCGCTTTAATCTTTACAACTGAGTTGAAAACTACTTGGCTTAACTGTGCTTTATCTGCAGTTGCTGCAAAAAAGAAGAGCCACAAAACACTTTTGTTGCCTTGTGGCAGTTTTGTCTGAAAGACCTTCTGTGCCAAACAGCATGTTGCATAGAATGAATCATAAAGGCTAAGAGCACTCTGCACTCTTAAGAGTATAATTTCTTAGACACGTCATAATTCTTCCTATGTATGTGGGGTGGGGCTAAGGCTACATCTGTACTATAAACTTACCATACTGCATAGAAGTGCCCTCAGATACACTGCACTGCTCTGGGCAGGCTGCCTCCTAAACTAGAAGCAGTGTGGTCTCATTTGCATGGTCAGTTTAATTAGCTTCGGCATAAACAATCTGGCACCATCACTCAGTAGTGTTGAATAGTCTACCCCAAAAGCTGTGTGGAGATGGCTACACCACTTCCACAGGCTTGAGGGTGCTGACATCAGTAAGTTTCCTGTGTATAGACAGAGCCTCCATGACTTGCCTGAGGTCATAAAACAAGTCAATAGCAGAATCGGAAGAAATACTACAGGCATCCCAGTTCACAGTCACCCTACTCAAACTACTAATGCGACAGAACTCTAATATTCTTAGAAATAACTGATTCAAGAAAACCACTATTCTTTTTCTGCAGATTAATGAGTTTTGTGTCTTGTAAATTTTATTCATGCAAGAATTTTTTAACTAGTAAGAAGCATAACATGAAGTAAAATACATAACAAATACAGTTTAACATTTCATTAGAAACAAAATTGTAAAAAAGAAAAAAAATTACATTCACAAATAGTCCAAAATTGACAACAAATCATCTTCTCTTCTCAATCTATTAACGCTTCGGGCATGCTGCAACTTCTACTTAAAAATGTTCTGTTGCTGCCCTAGGACAATTAGTTCTCCTATAATGTGTCTATTCTATATAGTATACCTTGAACACATAACAAGGAAGTTACTGAACTATTGCTCAGTTGCACAGATGCAGAATGGAATTAAAAACCATTGTGACTGAGCAAATATTCCACGGTGCATTTTGACTTTGTTTTAAGATTACTGGAAACTAACTCCTAGTTGCATTTAACCCAATTCTCTCGCTCATTGAAAATGTGCAGTAACCTGGGGTGCCTTCTAAGGCCACATCCAATGCCGACTGACAGTGGACAGAGTTTATTAGAGACAGCCCTGTAAAACTGTGAAAAATGTTACAGCACATAGCTGTGGGAAGGTCTTTCAGCAATTGTCATATTTACTTGATTCCAAGATGAGTTTCCCTCACCCCTTCAACAGCTTTCCCTGCTACTTGCTCCCTTTAACTGCTTTTCCATAGCAGTGGGGGGGAGAGGGGGGGAGGAAGAGAAGAGAGGGGGTGAATTTAATACAGCCCTCCAATAATTAGATTCCAAACAGAAAATTATAACAAATTTATAATTTTTCATGTCTAGAATCTTATCATTGGAGAAATCACCTTAAATTCAAAATCATCTTAGATTCAGGCCATTTAAGAAGAAAAGTTACCAAAAAAAAGTCACCTGAAGGACTGAGGGATTCTTGGACACTAGAAGAATTGTGCTCTCTCTCTCTCACGTAAAATGTGAGACGAGTTGGTGTAAAAGGTTTATATCCTGGTTTCTGTATATTCTCTAAATAACCATTTAGCCTCTTCAGAGAGTTTTCATTGATTTCCTGTAACAAAGGAAAAAAGTTAAGAACCGTTGTAAATACAGACTTTTGTTTGCTTATTTCATATTAAACTTCTTTTTAAAACAAATAGGAAGAGTATTAGTTTCACAATAGCTTCTGATCATAAGCTCACCTTTCTAATTCCTCCAAAAGAATCATAAAAAATTATATCTCAATCTATATGTGAGGTTGACCTGTAATAAGATCTTTGAAAGTTTCAACTTTTGTACTTGTACTATTCTTGTGCATGCAATAAACATACAAAGTCAGAATTTGTTTCAGCGTGGTTTTTATTTTAGTATCTTTAGTGCATTTAACCCCTTGGTTC